GGACTAATGGTGCAACACAACACCCAATTGAGTGACCTCTGCAACTAATATTTGAGTTGAGTGACCAAAATGTAACTCCGAGTATAGTTGAGGGACCATTGCTACAAATAACCCAAAATATAAACAGTTCAATCCCTCAACTAAAGTTTTCTGTATATTATATATATTCAACATATTAATTTTAGTTTACGTGAGATATTTAGTTACAAATAGATGTAAATGAACGCAATGGTAGTAGTATTGTCACTGATGCATTACTTTACAACAGAATCAAACAATAATTCTAGTTTATCGGTGGCTGAAACAGTTTTTGTTCTTATGTGTTGTTTATAACATTTAAATTTATTTTTTCACTAATTTTAGACTCAGTTGCGAACTTTTTTGGATTGATCTTGATGAGTTTTTCTTTTTAGAAGTATAAAATTATCATTAAAAAAAAGGGAGATTCACTATTATACCCAATATAGGAATCCAAATTATAAAAAAACCCTATATGAAATGGACTTTAGAAACACACCCAAAGCCCATTTACAACATAACAAAAAGGCTTTTAACTTGTTTTAAATTATAAAACTGCCATTGATTTCTTAAAACAAACCCAACCCCAAAACCACATAAAAAAGTCCAAAACACTCAATAGGGCATTAAAGTAATTTAATAATCAAAATTCAATTCAATAGGGCCAGCTGTCAGTTTTTGGGTGTTTTTTGGTTTGTTTATAGAAATTAAATAGTGTAGGGTTTATTTATAGTTTTAGTGCTAAGAATATGGGTTCTCTAAAAAGAAACATGTAGCATGAGAAAACAAACTTGTGTGCATGTAATTCTGGAAAACACTTCATTGTTCAATTCTTAAATTTCATCCAAACTTTTGTTTTGAGATTGTTAAAGGAAATTGTATTGTTTATTAATTCATCGGAAAGTATTTTCAATTATATATGGCAGGTGACCCGTTTGAAATGTGGAGGTTTCATATTTGCATTACGTCTAAACCACACATTGTGTGACGCAGTAGGGTTGGGCCAGTTCTTGAACGCAGTTGGGGAGATAGCTCGAGGAGCAAATGCGCCATCAATTCCACCAGTATGGGAACGAGAGCTCTTGAATGCCCGAGATTCACCCAGAGTTACATACACGCATCACGAATACGGGGACCAAAATATTTCTCAAGGCTCTGTCATTGCCTGTAAAGATCAGCAAGACCTGGTCCAGAAATGTTTGTATTTTGGTCCTGAGGAGATAAGGGCTGCTAGGAAACATCTTCCACCACACCTCACTTGCTCCACATTTGAGCTGATAACAGCTTGTACGTGGAAGTGCCGCACAATTGCACTCGCAATGGATCCAGACGAGGTTGTTCGTCTTTCATTGGTCGTCAATGCACGTGGAAAGCGCGACAATGTAGTTCTTCCTTTGGGATTTTATGGCAATGGAATTGGATTCCCAGGTGTGGTTTCGACGGCTGAGCTTTTATGTCAAAATCCATTGGGTTACGCGGTGGACTTGGTGAAGGAGGCCAAGTATAAAATGAACCAAGATTACATAAAATCAGTCGCGGATCTTTTAGTGTTGCGGGGATGGCCGCCGCTTACATTGGCAGGGAATAACTTCATACTTTCGGACAACACACGTACCGGTGTGGGAGAGGTTGATTTCGGATGGGGGAAGCCGATAATTGCTGGACCTGCCAAGTCCGTGAATTTGATTAGCTTCTATGTTCGAGACAGCAACCAAAAAGAGAAATATAGGATTCTGGTACCAGTGTGCTTACCATTCCGGTCTGTGGAGAGGTTTGAGCAGGAGTTCAAAAGGCTGACTTTGGAGCCTGAGGAGGAGGGATGATGGTGCGTTTCGGTTTCTTTTTCTTGGTTTTAATGGGGTGGTGTAAACAACGATTTTTGAATAATTTTTAGCAAGAAGTATTTGTATCAGCTTCGGAGGTTCATAATTTTAGATAATCTTGGTGGTTAAGTGGTTAGATAATCTTGGTTTGATTCATATATATTCAAATAATCAGATAATATTGGTTAGATTATAGATCATCGTCTGTGCATTTGGAAATATTTAAGCTTACCACCATTAACACTACTACTCATGTTTTATGGCGCCCCAAAATGTGAGTATACAAAAAAAATAGGGCTTGTCCAATATAGGTCCCTCCAATTTCTATTTTCTAGACATGTACCCATCATTCTATAAATCTATGTGTAAAACCCAATTTCAAACTTAAATGACCAGTAGGATATAAGAGGTCATAATATTCTATGTTTTTACATTGTTGCCATCAGACTTCATATTTTATTTATAATTTATTCCAAGCATTTCATTAACTGCCATAATTGTAATTAAAACTCCCTATTAATAGCATATCAATCACCCCATTTCTTTTGGTTGTCATTCCCTCTAACATATCTCCCCCTAAAATTGCAAACCAAAAATAAAATATGTAAATTACATATGAAAAATATAAATATATTCGTATAAAAATATAGGTATATTATTTACCCAAAAAAAATTAAAAAAAACTAGGTTAGTTACCTTGCAATTGAAATTTCCATACATTTTTCATAAATTAAAAATAGGTACACAATAATTTATAGAAAATAGGTACATTGTATAATTGAAATCACAATAAGTTATAGAAAATAGGTGCGTTGTATAATTGAAATTTATGCACATTTTTTTTAAATTAAAAATAGGTACATTATTTAGAGAAAAAAAAAATAGATACAAAATTTAGCAAAAAAAATAGGTTCATTATACTAGGTAAATTGTTTTACTAGGTATATTATTAGAGAAAAAAGAACAAATACATTATTTGGAGAGAAAAAATAGGTTCATTTAACAAAAATTGTTCTCATAAACCAAACAATAAAAAGATGATCAAATTATTTTTCATAAAACAAGTAATAGGTCCTTTATTTAGAGAAAAAAGGGTACATTATTTAGAGAAAAAAAAATAGGTACATTATTTAGAGAAAAAATAGGTTCATTTAAAAAAAATGTTTTTCAAAAAACAAACAATAAATAGATTATCAAATTATTTTTCAACATAATTAGAATGTACACTATTGTTCATAAAACTATAATAAAGTAGATTACTAGTTGTATAATTCATAAAAGGAAAACAACATAATTTTTTTATTAAATAAACCAAAACGTTAATCACCTATAGATTACTAATACGTTAATGTTGAATTTAATATTTAATTTCAAATAAGTTTCTAAATTAATTCCTACATCCATTACAAAGATTTGGATATCTTTCCAAATTCGACGTGTGTCATTAGTTACATTCCCCGTAACACATTAACTTATAAACAAGGGTAGTTTTGGAATTCAAAAAATACAATAAATAAGATTTTAAGTTATATTAGGTAACTTACTTAATTGGATCCTAGTCATCAGGTATTATTTGAAAAAATTGGGTATTTTAAATAGAAAAATAAAGGGAAGGGTTGTAGGTGATTTAAAATGAATTTTATGGGTCTAAGCTCAATTTACTAAAAAAAATAAACACTCAATTTTGAATGACATAAGCTAAAGATAGGTCCTACCCTTCAGCAATCTGAACATGGATTTTCTCAGAAACTCCAAAGGACCTCTTGGAACATATTCTACATGGCCCCCCATTTGCAGTTGGAAGTCGAACTGTCCTCAACCTTAGGGCAAAAGGCTCTTGTCAATTTTCGGAGCAAGATGATACAAAGATATCCAAATCCGAGACCACAAATTAAAGGCACAGGCAAAAGTACAAAGCCACTTGTGTGAACGTGAATTTTGATATTATCCTCTGTCATCGCATTTAAGGAAAAGAATAATTTAAGTCTATTTCTTTTAAAGAAAAATAATATATTATATTATTACATTTATATTTAATTTAAGTCTATTTCTTTTCTCTAATAATCTATATATATAAAGCAAAAGGCAGAGAATGGTGAAACATTCAAAATACCAGAGAATTCCCTTGGTTAATGCAAACATTAAGAATTGAAATTATTAATTAAATGAGGATAATATGGTAAATTCACACTTTTTCATATCTAAAAAAATTAAAATTAAAAGAAAAATAAAATAATGGCCTATTTTTATGGAACACAACTACCCATTATTTTTTTTAATTCTAAAATAAATTTTAATTTTTTTAAAATTCTAGTATGTATTAAAATTTAATGTTTTCTTTATATATAAAATAATGATTTTTTTTTTTCAAATTTCAATTTGTAAAATCTAAACAATAATCTAGTTATTTTCTATTTAAATGTATTTTTAAAAAAAGTTATTGACCATTTTTTTTGACAAATAATAAATCTTGTTCGCATATATACAATTGTAAAAAATATTTAAATGAAATTATAAAAAAAAAAAAATACATAAGTCAAATTTGGTGTGGGCCAATCTTGGCCAGTTTAGTGGCCCGGCACGAGCACTCGAGTCCATATAAACTTGGCCGTGAGCTCGGGCCGGAATTGATGATTTTTATAAATGAATGGGCCCGGCACAACTCATTTATTAAATGGGCCAACTCTAAACAGACTGGATCAATCACTCGTTTGACACCTCTAATGAACATGTCAATAGTTAATGAACTTGAAAGGACATTTTTGTTCGTGCATGCCAGCGTCAGATGCAACTTCTGGACGTAATTGGTTCGCCTGCATAGATAATTAAAGGGTTCCCACCAGGGACGGTCCTATGACTTGTACAACCTGGGCTATAGCCCAGGTGAGTTTTATTTATTTATTTCTTATAGTTAGTGTTAATGTTAATTTAATCCCATTTATAGCAGAATATTAATTTGAACTAATTGGATAATTGTAGTGTTACCCTTAGTTGCCGTGTGTCTATCTAACTCTATCTTTGTGATGATAAATTTTCATTTTTGAATTTTCTTATGAATTTTCATTTCTTTGAATTCATTTTGTTCATCATGGTAGACCTTAGTTGGCATTGTTGGTGTAAAATAGGTCTTTTAAACAAATAAAATAAAAATGATATGTTCTTACATTATATATATATGATCAATTCCATAAGCCTAAAATCTAACAGTTCAATAAGGTAAATCTAGCCCACCCCATTTTAAAATCCTGAGTCCATCCCTGGTTCCCACTACAGATGGTCATCTTCAGATAGCGAGCCACAGGGTGACAACATCCATGGAATTTGGCCTTTCTATTATTTGCTCATCAACACAGCCAACTTCTCCACCGCACGCATATATGCATTATTTCTCATATATTCACCAGAAAAAACACATAAAATAAAAGTAAATATAGAAGTAAATACGTTTTAAGGTAGCAGGGTCAATGGGGTCCGACACATAAATACCAATTCGATGACTCATACAATGTAGTCATTTTGTTGCAATAATACAGGCCCTCGCAGTATATGAGATGGGTTCACTGTGCCCTCTACTGTTTCCGGTGAACCGATTCAAGCCAGAACTTATAACACCGGTGAAGCCAACGCCAATTGAAACCAAGCAGCTGTCGGATATAGACGATCAGGACGGCCTTCGGTTTCATTTTCCAGTCATCATGTCTTATAAGAACAATCCTTCAATGAAAGGAAACGACGCCGTTGTGGTGATCAGGGAAGCACTGAGTAGGGCACTAGTGTATTACTACCCTTTGGCTGGTAGACTCAGGGAAGGGCCCAACAGAAAGCTTATGGTGGAATGCAATGGAGAAGGTGTCTTGTTCATAGAGGCTAATGCTGACGTCACGCTTGAGCAACTTGGGGACAGAATTCTACCCCCTTGTCCTGTCTTAGAGGAGTTCCTGTTTAATCCCCCTGTTTCTGATGGTATTCTTGGTTGCCCTTTGCTGTTAGTTCAGGTATCTATATAAATTTTGCTTGTTAATTTCAATTGGTTTTTTTTAGTGGTCGCGTATGAAGGATATAAATGGAGTAGTAACGTGTTTGGGGAAACTTTGAGTATGGTTTTTGGGGTGGTATTTTAATCCCAACCCCAAACTATATATAATCTATTTTTCATATGAATATATTGTGAATTGGCTCCAATCTATATTCCACGTGTGCCGCTAAATTTTATGTTCGACCTTTTATATTATATATTGAATTAATTAATCAATAAAAAATATAGGCAAAACAAAAGTTTTGTTTTGTCTGTTGCCCTAGTAGAATAGTTTTTAACTTTTCTTTTCTCATTCAAAAGTTGTTTTTTCCTGGTACATTTGCAATGGGGTGGGGCAAGGAACCAATTCCCCAACAAAGAGGTCCCGATATTTGGATATTACGGATATGGAGGGGAGTCAGGAAAAGGATTTAAAAGGAGGAGTAGGGACGTGGGTATGAATATTCATTATATGCTCATCTGGACTTGAATATAAATAGATGATTAATACTTCGTTTCCCTTTTCAGATCCAAACGTACATGACTTGAGTTTGTCTTTCCAACCCTTGAAGGCTGTCATCAATTTTGAGTCAGAACCTTCTCCTTAACAATTTGACACAAGAACGTACCCTCAATTGTCCTACACAATTCACACTCTGATCATTTTATCTATTTGTAGTACTCTTCCCTCTTAATTTTGTTTTTATGATAATTTATTAGACAAAACGAGCACGAAAACATAAAAATTAAAGCCAACATACATTTACAATATATACAATTTTCTTTTTAATCAAATAGAAACTTCATTAGGTAAACTTCAACGGTATAATAAAAAACATCAACAAGACATCTAAAATACCAATCCTAAGAAGGCAACAAACTAAAGTGCTAAAAGCAAAACTAACGTGAACAAAAGTCACACAAAAACTACTAGCCCACATCACCACAATTAATTATAAGTCTAAACAAAGCCCACAAAACCTTAAAACAGCCCATGAGCCTATACGAACCCTACCACCACCA